TAAAGCGTGGCAAGATGTGCCGTCTCTCCGACTTCTCTGATTCGGCCACAAGACCACTGGATGACGTCGAGATCGCTGTCCATGACGGATGCTAGGAAACTAATACCAGCATGTATCGACGGCGCACGCAAATCTCTCAAACGCCAACTAGTGAAGTGCATAAAGAAATACTGGGAACTCTGGTGGACATCAAAAGCTCGGGAGACGGAGAAGGCTTTTGCTACGGGAAACAGCCGTGCCCCACACCAAATGATACAATCAACTGATCCTAGGAGAGCAGCGGCCACTGAGACGTGAGAAGGCATAAAGAGTGTACGGTCTGTATCCAGTCCTATACAAAAGAGACCCATCTGATAAAGCGAATTGCTGCTATATGGAACGAAGAGCAGGTTCCTGAAGGATGATGGATATCAGCAGCTATTCATACCTACAAAAATTACGCGGACGCTGTGTGCAAACCGCTGTCGCATCTGCCTGATACCAATGACGTCAAAGGTGCTCTCTGGTCTTATCTTTTGAAGGTTGGCTAAACATAGGGAGAAACAGATACGTAAAAACGAAGCTGCGTTCCGTCCTGCAAGAGGGTGCATCGATCATATCTTCACGCTTTGGCATATCCTAAAGCTGCTTTGAGCAACTAAAAATTCCTTGATCTGAAAGCTGTCATTGACTTTGTGAACCGTCAGAAGGTATGGCAGTGTCTTTTTAGCATTCGTGTCCTCCATAAATTCTTGACCCTTCTTAAGGCACTGTATGCCAACTGCCGCGGCCGTGTGAAGGTCTACGGGAATCTCTTGCCTGAGTTCAGCACATTAAGTGGTGTCTGGCAGGGCTGTCACCTTTCACCTTTCCCCTTCAACTTCGACATTGATACGATCATGGAAGACTCACTGCCAGCCTCTAACGCCTGGGGGGTCGAAGTGCTCCCCGGGCATCCGCTCACGGATATGGAGTACGCGGATGACATATCTCTTCTTGGATATGACCCCGTGTTAATGAAAACAATAGTAAATAACTTAAACAATTCTGCCTCGCGGTTTGGCATGCGCTTCACACCCGCAAAGTGTAAAGTGCTACCGTAAGACTGAGTGAGCTGAGAACCTAATCCCAGGCTTACGGATTTACAGATTAATGTAGTGGACAGTTCCCTCTGCCTTGGAAGCCGTATCAGTCTGGGTGGTCTCGAGGGAAGGAGATTATATTTCTATCCAGTGTGAAAGGCCTGAGCAGCTATTGTGAACCTACGTCAGCTGTGGCGTAGGCGTGGCATCAGTGTGTTCGTCAAGGGTCGAGCGTGCAGTGCGCTTCACATTACTATATGGAACAGAAACCTGGCTGCTGCACGCCGAGGATGTCAAAAACTTCCAGTGTTTGACCATCGATGTCTTCAAACCATTGTCTTAGTCTGATTGGGACATTGAATCAGCAATGATGAAGTATGTCTATTGGCATTCGGAAAGAACTCACCCACGATGGATGAACTGATCACAGTGCATGGTTTGAGCTGACTTGACCACGCGCTCCGTATGTCAGTCAACCGACTTCCTCGAAGGTTTTTTTTGCACAACCACGTGAAGGGTGAAAACGACCCAGGGGAGCGAAATATGAAAGCCATTATCAGCAAACTCAGCTGCACTGGTCGTTGACGTCTTCCTGGATGGGGTCCCCGAGATGGGCCACCTCAATGGGTAGAGGCACTGTTAGTCATGACCCAGTCGCGCCCACAACGGCGATCATCCATCCAAACTATTATCTGCAATCCTTTCCTAGTACCTCACTTAAAAGTCAACTGCCGCGGAAATTATTAAGCTGTCCTAATTCTCCAAATCATCGTTGGACTCTACAACCACTGTACGACGGGTACGCGCTTCTTATAGCTGATGATGTTGATGATGGCTCATGCGTTCCGTCCTGCAAGAGGGTGCATCGATCATATCTTCACGCTTTGGCATATCCTAAAGCTGCTTTGAGCAACTAAAAATTCCTTGATCTGAAAGCTGTCATTGACTTTGTGAACCGTCAGAAGGTATGGCAGTGTCTTTTTAGCATTCGTGTCCTCCATAAATTCTTGACCCTTCTTAAGGCGCTGTATGCCGACTGCCGCGGCCGTGTGAAGGTCTACGGGAATCTCTTGCCTGAGTTCACCACAGGGGTCATGCGGAGCAGTCTAGATTTGAACAGTCAGGGTTTTTATTCTGTCTCTGCTGTTCCATATTTTGCCGATTATATGGTGGTAAGGAGAGAAAGGAGAAAAAGTATTTGGCCTTTTGCGAGGGTGATTACACTCTAATATTTGACGTTGTTGTGGAGCCGGCGTGATCTGGTGTGATCTGTGGGACAGTCAGGGCGTTCGAGCAAAACAACTAATTCGCGGCACGATTTCCCCGGAACCGACCCTTCCTGTTCTTTGTCAATGCCTTCTGCTCGCTCTTCTCTCTATGAAGGAATTCCAATGAGGACTTTGATTAATTCATGTGAGGAAGAGACATTTTTCTTATTCCCCACCATAGATAAAGAGATTCCGTCTTGACCTCGCCTTTTTGGTGCATAAATCTGACTTTCCTCTGGACTGGAAGAGGGCCGTACCGACGATGACTTAGTATAACATGTTTTTGGAGAAACATTTGCCCATGGCTAAGGATTTTCATCAACAAACAGGGTGTCGATCGTAGTTTTTCACTACTTTTTCTGAGCTGACCTATACTACTCCCCTGTTTTTGCTTTTACTAAACTTTTATGAGGTACCTCCTTCTGGTAGCCTTGACTGATGCTTGTCGGGGCACGTGCGTTACTCTATATTGCCACGTGCGTTAATGCAGTTAATTTTTGCTTTTGTGTATTGCTTGTCCCCTCTTGTCGTCAGAAATCAGAGTGCATATCCATTCACAATCTAATCCCCCTGAACACTGGCACTCTGCTTTCTTCTGTCGGTACAGAATGCGAGCAGCAAACCGAATTTCAATCATTTCTCATTCGCGGCCATTTCCTTATTCATTTGAACCACCTCGCCTGTGTTAGGGGACCCTAACTGAGTTTTACGTCTTGAACCCGTCTTTTTTTTCACCGGCATTCTATGACATGCTGCATGCTACGACATTTCCGGTGAGTTGGGCTACTTGCTGATGAGAATCATCACTGTATCACAATCATCGTTTCGAAACCTATCCGTCAGAATTTGTTCCATATGTCCTCCGGTTCTTGAGCCTCATGCGAGAACAATACCCCATATCTGATATAGTGACAGCCGTGTGCAAGTCCCAGTCCATGGTCAACGGATGTGGCTGACAGTCAGGGACAAAGTCGAACTTGGCCTTCGCTACCATATTCCGCCGTGTCGTCCCGACTGCTTATCCCTTACTCTGTGGGACTAGCGAAGTGATGTTCTTGCCTTGGCCCGACTCATGCAGTCGTACATGCTTCACGACATCGATGAGGTACGTTCATCCATCACGGTGGGCAACTGGACGATAATATTAATTGTCCAGCTGTAACATGCACACAGTTGTTTTGCCGAGATCCTTCCGGGTTGCTAATCAGTGAGCTGACTTTTGCACAGGTTGATTATTACTCATCCTCCTCGTACCTACAGAAAGGGCACGAAGGTGAAATTTCCAGACGACGACACAGTTGCTATCTCTGGACTGATGTGACCGAACTCGACGTTTGGGAACTTTGATAGGAGCCGTAACCTGGGCGTGTGTTCGTCTACGGAAGATATACCAACGGTCATTCACCCGCGGCTGATATCAGTCGAAGTCTGTTTAACCATTAGTCCGAATTAACCAGTGGGTACTAAATAGCGCGAAACAAGCACTTTGTGAGTGCTATGTTTTCTTCCCACATTAAGTGGTAGAGACTGGGATGAGGTGGGCTTCTTCGATCCCCTACTGCAGTTGGGTGTTTATGTTTACCAACCGTATTTAAGCTCATCAATCATCGTGCGTCTCTCGCAATTGACCGATCAAAACCTTCACACGTGTTCGATTCTTAATAAATTTGGCGCGTTTGTATTGTCCGGCCTTCCATTGACATTCTTTAGATCTCGCCTACTCTTTACTGTATTAGTTTATTCTCCCAACGAGTTGATTAATTTGGTCGTTGGGATACAGGCTGTCTTGTTTGACTAACACTACCAATCTACTTAACTGCGTCGTCTGTGCTCAGTGCTAAACTCTAAGTTCTCTTCTATCTCTTCTTTGCTGGACCTACAACTTACTTGTTGGACTGCGTGAAAAGTGGGACAGTGATGTGGATGAATGAGGGATTTGCAGGATCCGACTTTTACTTGCTCTCCCTTGGTCAGTCTCCGCAATTGGTCTGTTTGGTCGACGCCAGGTGATCTAATCATGAAGGCGATGACGTTGATCAGGTTAAAAGAACCGACGTTATGCACACAGCAGTCCTTCAAACAAGAATCTTCGTGAATATACACTTATTTGCACACTAATTCGGTTCTTTTGAGAGACTCAACTGGAACCCAGCTGAATCACTTGTTTCTGATGTTCTCAGGCAACTGAATGTGCTGCACCAGGCCGCCTCATGTTTCAGTCGCTACGATATTTGAAAATAGTAGTACATTACACAGATATCCTTTCGTCGCGATACTTCAAATATCGTAGTGACAGAAAAATGAGGCGGCCTGGTGCAGCACATTCAATTGCCTGAAAACATCACAAAAGAGAGATTCAGCTGGGTTCCAGGTTAGTCTCTCGCTAAAACAAATTGGTTTGCAAATTAGTGTTTATTAGCTAATTTCGTGCAATTTCAAGTTTCAAGTAGAACATAAGGTTGACGGAAACTCGGGGACTGTGCCTACCTGATAAGACCCAAGAAGGGCAAAACCGGTCGTGGGCTGTCGACGAATTATTAGCAACCCTATGAGTAGTGCATTACAAAAATCCTCGTGCTTTTCGTGCGTAATCCTTCACTTAAATGTTATGTTGCAAGTAAAAAGTCTCCCTAACTCTCTTCATGCTCTCTTGCTAGCCAATAACCAAAAATGAGGATAAACATGTGTGCAGTGCTCCTCAGCTCTTCGGCGTAGAACAAACGCTGAGTCAGTTCCGGTTTGACTGTGTGCAAACGTTTGAATTTTGAATCCATTCGGACTATATAAGTTCGTTGTTCATATAGTTTATAACTCTCACAGATGACCTCCATTGCAGATTTCATGAGGTTTGTGGCATGGTGATCTCATGAACATTTGATGGGTTGCACATTACTGATATTGAGCTACAGGTGTTTTTATAAATGTGTGATTCTGGATTCACTGCACGCATCGAAATTAAGGAGATGCGCATTGTCAATGACCTCTAAACAAGGTCGAATCAGACTTGGAGTGCTCTTTGTATTTTCTGCAGTCGAACGCAACACTATTCGCATGGTCCTCAGAGAACCAGGACCTATTCCGTCACGAAGCCGTATAAGCGACTTCAACCTCTGGATGCCTCTGGTGCTCATCTCTGAGGTTGCTGAATTTGTCTGTGCCCTACGGCCAGCCATGACAGTTCAGTCTGAATTAGGTGAACCAAATCCGCTAGGGCTGAAGTAGGGGAGCACTGCATTGGCTCTCTGATGATATTTTTATAGAGACCCGCATGTCATGATCAGGCTATTCACGGTAACAGAGCCGATTCCGGTGCCAAGCCAGTTGCTGGAAGACCAAGTATCAAGAAATTTGAAAGGCTGCAGAGAAGTAACTCAGTGTTAACAGAAGAGATAATGAATTTACCAAGTGGCACTTCCACATATTAAGGCAGTAGTTTTTTGTAGTCATAGGACAATGGT